CTTACCTGTAACCATAGTTCTTCGAGTGATCCTCTGTGAATCCACACATCCTGCCCATCCTCCCTGCTGTCCATCACTTTGGTTCTTGAGCTTGGTTACAATTAGAGCCTTGACAGCGGTGAATATTTGGGAACTGAGGTATTACGGGTGGGCGGAGCTTGCACACCACGGGGAAACATCCTACTAATTACATGTTTTTAAGCTCTAGAATATTCTGAAGAGTCCTGCACAGGTGCAGTCTAACCCATTTGTGTGGGCTCACAGAGGACCACTCAAAGAACTATGGTTACAGGTAAGTAACCTCTCTACTTTTGACATTCATGTTACCCATTACTAATTGAAGAAAGAAGTTTACTCCTTTTGCAGCCTGGTATGAATTCTTTGTAAACAGAATTGAGTGTCTCATCAGCATACATCACTAAAAGATGATTTCACTCTGTGCTTTCAAGTGGATATCAATGGGAAACAGATAGTGCTGCAGAGAAATAAAGGAAGCTGCCTTATTCTTTGTGTTAGATTATTGGTGCATCTAGTTCAGACCAGCAGGAGTTCCCCCAAGGTTTGGGGAAGGATTCTTTCCTAACACTACCTGGAGATCCTTGGGATTCCTTAATACAGTAATCTCCTGTCCAAGTACTGACACCAACCCTAGTTTCTGAAATCTGACAATATTAGGTGTGTGCAGGATAGAGAGGATAAAGAGATGGATCACACATTGTCCTGTTCTCAATGAGAAATAAGAAATATTTTTTCATGCATCAGACAGATCTCTCTGTAGAAGATCATTTTTTAAATTGCTGAATTTCTTGTAGTTTTCACACATTTTTTGTTCAAGAAATGATAATGCACATGCAGTATATCCCTTCCTTTTATGAGATGGCAGCCTACAAGAATCCACCACTGTATAGAAATCTAAGGAAATAAATAAATAAATAAAATTTTCAGTGGTAATTCACTGGTAGGTGTAATGCATACCTTGCTGTTCTGTTGTTTACAGAAAAGCAGCTCTACCATGTGTAGAATACACTTCAACTTTGCACAGGCTGAAAAATGGTAAAATCATGGGAGTCTTTTTGTTTCGTTTTTCTTTTGTTTTTGCAAAAATCCCACCTTTTGCAGACTGTCCCTCATCTTGTGCAACAGTTCTGTGCAATCTGTGGATGAATTCCTTGATTTTTCACAGTATTTTTTGTGATTTCTGTGCATAAAAATAGCAAAACAAACAAAGAAATTGAAAAAAAGAAAAGGAAGATACTTCATTTTGCTTTCTTGCTACAGATTATTTCATGAGAGCAGGGAAACTTTAGTGAGAAGTCTCAGCATAGTCAGACTGAGAAGACTGCCAGGAATAAGCATTTTTTACAGCATTCATTCCATTCCTATTTTGGCATGATATGGTAGGCTAAAGTATGCTTTGTTGTTTTCATTAGCATAATTTATAACTCCTGTGGCTCCTGCCCCTTTAAATCTTTGTTGCAGTTGACATTTAGGAACAGAGAGAAGAGGGCAATGGGTTGATATTTGAAGGGATGTGGGCAGTTCTGTCCTCCTGCTCAACCAAAACATCAAGTGGAGGACCTTCTGTGGCTGTTTTGGAGGCGAATCCTCTAAGTCTAAGCCTCTGCGAGACCCAAAGGGTAATGACAGTTCAGTGGTACAGCAGTAAAGTAATCAAAGGACCAGGAGAAACTGGGTTTTTTTCCCACCAGCTGAGTAGACCCGAGTCTGAACACATCTGAATGAGCACAGGAAAATACAGAGGCTTTTGCACAGCTTTGCACCAGCAAGAATAGGAACATGGGTGTGCAACATCAGCGAGTCTTCCTTACTTTCACTTTAGAACGGGGCACATTGCCATGTTTGAGATATTGAGGATGGGAATATAAAATAGAGAAGAACCATGGCTGTGTATTGCACCATCAATGAATAAAATTAAAATGGAACTAAAAATCAGTGTGCGCCAAGCATATACAAGGGTTTGTATGTTTACTGTCTGGCCATGGGTCCTTGAGCATCATGTCCCAAAAGAATTTGTTGGGCACAAGTCAGAAATGAGTAAAGTCTTGGGACAGTTTTCTGGAAAAGCTGTACAATCATCTCCTTCATCATAACCCCAGCCATTCATCCCCCTCACCAAGTGCATATGTGACTCCTACAGCCATACTCTATGAAGCACATGCCTATAATTTTGGGCTTCATTACCCCAAATTCATTTGATGCTGTCTAACTGAGCAGTGCATTCATCAACAGACAGTAATGCAAAATAAAGAAATGAAGAAATAAAAATGGGGAAAAAAAAGTAGAAATGTGATTTCCCAATATTAGCTGCATTGCAGCCCTCAAACAGAATTTGGAGTGGGAGTTGAAATCTCTGTAGCCTGCCAATGCTGGTGTCTTATGCTGGTTTTACATAAAGAACCCAGGTGGACAGTGAGAAAAGACACACACCTTGGAAATATTTGGTCAGGTTTCAACAAGGTCAGTGTTGCCTCATTGCAACATTATAATATGAATCGCTGTGTGTACAACAGCTTCTCTGTTTTGTGGGGTGCCTGAGAGGATACGTCTTATTCTTATACAGAATGTAATAAGTTTTGTTGTGTTTGCTGCTCTTTATGCAAAATAAAACAAAGTTACATCAGAAATGTTATGTAAGTTCCATATTCTAGTTAATGGTTTTGACTATTCTGTGCTTTATTTGTAATAAAGAGGAGTGCCTGAAAGCACTTTTCATCATGGCTGAGGTATTTCTTGTTTAAAGCAAAGGTGATGAAAGTAAAGTCACTCCATCTCTTATCAGTAAATTATTAACTAGAAAGGAATGCTGCATTGATTAAACATTTTCTTAGCAGCGTATGTAAGTGAGTTTGCTTCATACTGCATATCCTTTCAGTGGTCAAAAGTTGATGCATTTGTGGGGGGAATGCATAATACACTTTTGTCTGCATATTTCTGATTTTGCACTGTGTTGTTTGACTGAGCTGATTGGGGCCTTTGCTTACTTATCTTGTTCCAAATCAAATGTTAGGTTTACTAAAGTGGTATGCAAAGTTTATGTGTGGTGGAAATGTTTGTGTTGGATAATTCTGAAATGGCCTTTAATCGGCAAAGTCATATGATTTTAGTCCATGCATTTTTGCAAATTAGGATAATCAGGTTAGGCTTGCAATGGAACAGGATTGTTAAAAAACCAAAAAAAACATAATAAATAGTCTGTCTGAAGTGCAGGACATTTCAGGATTATAAAATCAAACAAGCTTCTCTGAACTAATACAGATCTGATACCTGGTGATCTATATTTAGTACATTGTTCTTTCACTGAAAAATTGCTTTCCTTTCCTTGCAGAACTTTCTTAATGGGTGGGAAAGGAGACTGAAGTAACAAATCATCCACAACATCCAGAGCCCTTCTGGTTTGTGCTGACTAGGGCAGGAGTTGTGAAGGATAAAGCTTTGCCACGCTTTACAGCCTGGCAGACTTTTTAAAAAAACTTCCTGTTTCCCCCAATGACAGAAATAGGGAGGTGATTTTTGAATGCCAACTCCAGGTTAGTGTATTCAAGAGATCCAAATCTGAGGACCCTTGTGTGGGCTTGTGGAACAGGGCCACTGGGAAAAACACGGCCTACCTCACTGGAAGAGGTGGGAGACCCATTTTGTCCCATCCAATCATGTCCAAGTTGGCAGCCATACAAGCTGGGCAAGAATTATCTGTACTAATCTTCTTTGAAGATACTTTCATGCATAGCTATTTAAACAAATGCTTTTAAACAGCTTGTGTTCATGCAGTAAATTGCAGTTGGCATATCCCCTGCAGAGGGGGAGAGAGAGGAAACAATACTTTCTTAAAACTATATAAAACAATACTGATACACTATGCCATTTTAATTTTTTTTCCAATAGGAGCTTCTTCCCACTCCTCTACAGAGGAAGAGACAGGAGAGGAAAAGGAGAGTGCTCTTTATTTTATTATTATTATTTCTTTTTTCCTTTTTCTTTTTAAAGAAAGGAAGGGTCAAAGGTGCTTTGACATGTGGTGTGGTTTCCTGCCCTAAAGCCACCCAATCCATCTCTCTCTCTCTCTCTCTCTCTCTCTCTCTCTCTCTCTCTCTCTCTCCCACACACCCACACACACACACAAACACACACACACACACACACAAACCCTGGCTATTATGAAGATATGTATGAAAGAATTGTCTCTAACCTTAAAACAAATGGTATTGCCATTTGTAAATAGTGCTCTGCATTACACACATACTGTAGTGCTAATAAACAGAAGCGTGCTCAGTTAGGAATATTTTTTGTGTATCTTCTGTTATTATTAATAGGTTTTTTAAAAAGCATTGCTGTTGTAGTAGTTTCAGGGAGAGTTTGATTCCTTCTCTGAGATTAATTGTTTTTTTAAAGGACAATGTCTTGTCTGTAATTTTTCAGCCTATCTTTCCCATTGTTTAATCGATGTATTCCGCAAAATGTCGAGTGCTACTCCCAGTTTGCATCAGTATTGATAAATATGGTTAATGAAGTGGATATTTTCCATCGTATTCTTGGTGGGATTATGACAGGAAGAGACACTGTAATTGGACTGTGCGTCCTTGCACTAGGTAAGTCAATAGATACCATTTATATAACATAATTGTGACAATTTAAGAAGTAAATTACACTTTTAAAAATGATGTTGAGTATTTTGATTTGGCAGATCACAAGATCCTCTATGTAACTGTTGTTGAGATAAGGACTGCTGGAAAGCTCAGTGGTTTAGGTCTCTGGCTGTGGAGCCAAAGTTTGGGAGTTTGTTTCCCCACCGTTTCTCTTTGACAGGGGCTGGTCTCAAAGATCCATAAGGTCCCTTCCAGCTCTGCTGTTCTAAGATTCTAAGAACTATATCAAGGTCCCTTCCAGCTCTGCTGTTCTAAGAACTATATACAGTTATTGAAAAGCAAAATTTCCCAAGAATATCCTCTAAAGAATTCTGTGCTTTGCATGAAGTTAATGTAGCTGACTGGTTAGTAGGACGGTTTGGGGGATTTGGGTTTTTTTAAAGTATAGAAAGGATGCAAAACGTTATTGTAAAGCTACCTTCAATTAAACTACCTTCAGTTAAGCTGGTGAGAGTACTGCTCTTATTGTGATGGGGATGTGGGTATGCATAGAAACCCCACCCATCATGTCCCCCATTACATGGAAAGCTGTCAGACATTCATGTGTTCCGTTCAGAGGTCTGAAGAAGCAGTTGTTCTGGGTTTTTCAGGCTCTTTGGCCATGTTCTGAAGGTTGTTCTTCCTAACGTTTC